AATGATTTTGCTTCGTTTATTTTAGACTAGTCATTGTTACACAATTAATATACTATCTCTACCGGGCACAACAGTACAAATGACTGTTGGCGAGCAATGCAGAAACAGCATGGGTTGTCTGCAAGGTTGCCAGATTATGGAAAGTACACCCCGCCGCTAGAGGCTGCTGAAACCGCGAAAAATCTTATGAAACCGCACGGAATTTGAAATTCATTTGTACTTTATGCCCAAAATTTTAAACCCTATGATTAATACCTGATCACTTAATTATTTAAAATTGTGTAGCTGTAGGGAATTATACTTAACAAATATGGATAGAATAAAAAAAATGAACACTGGCCGCACATTGATTTGTTAAATGCGCAATTTTATATTTTTTCGTTATTTTACGAAATACAACAACGGTAACTACAAAGTAAATTCATGATAATCTTAACCATGAATCCATTTAATAATGAGTAGAACAATATAAGTTTATTTTAAGGTTATGGTGGAATTTCGTAACATAATTAAAAAATTCAAATTTTGAATTTAACCGCGCGAACTGGCAACCCTGGTTGTCTGCAGTTGTGTTATCTGTGGACTACAGTGATAATAGCTGTGCACTTACCTGCATGTGGCGCCACTACTGTTTTAGCATTTGTCCGTGGTCGTACTAGCAGTTCTTTTTTTTCAGTGTTTAGTCGATGTTTTCGCTTTTCTCCTCCCCGATCAGAAACAGTTGGTTGGCAACCGTACAGAATCATTCGGCCCGACTGCTGCACTGAGAAATGTTTGGGGGAGCCTCTCTACTGTCTGGAGATGCCATGCCACTGTTACAGGTGGCGCTACTGTCTGTGTAGCAGGACTGCTTCTCTGCCGGACTGGAAGCTATTTTCCTCCAGTCAGGAGCGCTGAGCTACTGCTTCCAAAGAAAGGAATCTCCAGAGGACTGGGAGGGCCACTCTGCCACTTTTAGTTGCTATTTTCTCTCTTTGTATGTATGAGGAAATAACGTTTGATTCACATTATCATGCTTACATTGTCAAGCAAATCAGTGAAGATGTTACTGTGAACCATGTTCTTCTCCCGAAAATTGAACCAGGTATATGTATAAGTAGAAAAAATTATATGTACGTCGCGTTTAAGTATGGATTATGATTCTGTAAAGTTCAATGAGTTTCCTATAAATGTAAATAATTATATTCAATAAATGCAAATACCAATGTATTTTTAAAAAAAATTGATGTTTTATTGAGTCTGCCGTTTTATTATAGTTTCGTAATTTTTTTTTTCGTCCGTATAATGTTTCGTCCGTATAATCGTAGGAGCATACCAAGTAGAGTTAAATGTTTTTTTTAAGAAGGCCAGCGTACGTATGAAAAGAAAATTTAATGTACCAAAAATAAACCAAAAACCATATCTCAAATAAAATTTTATAGCCACATACATCAATGGTACATTCAAATTCGTTCTAATTAGCACTTACTGCAATTATTCAGGCTTTTCATCAGAAAATTTGGACATTGTGTGTGTGTGTGTGTGCGTACGCGCAATTGCACAAATATATAGTCCGTTCACATATGGACAAACCATACTATAGTAATACGTACACTTTTACGTACAGTTCAGTTGGTTTGTTTACCTATCATTTGGACTACAGAATCGAGGCGCGAGGCTTCCACTACTGGGGGCTATTTCCCTCCAGTCAACTAGGAGAGATCTTCTTTGGTTTTCTTGAGCAGCCGCTGCGCTAAAGTAGCAAGTTTGCTGTACTAGGGCTATGGTGGGGCGACTCTCTTACTCCCAAAGGCGAGTCCCTTCCAAACATTTCTCAGTGTGGGTGCCGAATAATATTGCTTTCGGCCCGAAGGAGGGGCGTGCGCAAATTCGACATGTGGCTCGACAATTAAATAGGCAGCCATACATTCGGCAGCCAAAGGTGGCCCTAACTCTGCCCAACGTCGTTTGCCACTAAGTAGATGCATATATTGTCATGTAAATTCATACACATTTATATATTGCCAGCAGACGACGATCGTGCACTGTTTGTCCACGCGCTCTCTGTCTCCCTCACTTTCATGGTATCGGGCAAAAATACCATTGTTAATTTTTATCTCAAAATTTTGTGCTGGTCTAAACAAAAGTAAAAAACCAAATCGATAGGAAATTTTTCACTCTACACGCTAGTATTTTTATTTTTATCCTGTTTTGTACAGTTTAGGAGATATTTACGGAATAAACTTCAAACACTATTTTAAGGGTGTTATACAGAGTTTTGGCGAGTTTGACTATTTTTTCCGTAATCTACGAGTTTGATTACGTAAAATATCTAAAATATCCCTTTGGAAATCAATTTTGAGATTTAGAGGATTTTCTATCGGTCTAGCTATAGTGTGTTTTCATCTATAGATGGTACACCACTTTTCTCGGAACACTGCGTTCGGGCAGTCTTCGGGCTACTTCGGCTACCGAATGTTTGGCTGCCTACTGTTGGGCCACATGTCAAATTTGCGCACAAGCCCAATCGGAACCGAATCGGCTACCACACTTGGCCCGCAGATGGCTGTGTGGCAACTGTCGACGGCTCGAACTTTTGCCGACCAATTTTTTCTGATCGGGTCGTAGGCACACATTCGGTATATATACCGTTTTCTGTTCTTTTAACACCTTTTCCACCACGAAAAAAACTTAATGTCTCCCATAAAGCCTGTACTACTTTTTCTCTAATTGTCATATATATATCGCCATGTTATGTGGTACAGGCATATTCCCACACATCCCACGGAAGAAAACAAAGCCTTAAATTCAATTCGTGTCGATTGCTTGTGATCTGAAGCTTTACTTTTCACTCTAGGTGAGTAAGGTACTATTTAAACATAACGTAGATCGATTATCGAAATTGATTGAAAATCTTAAAAATCAAAACATTTTTTGTTTGAAATTAGAAAATAATTGACTTTAAATCTCGTCAAAAATTAATTTTTTGGTCAATTTGGAGTTTTCTTATTTCAACATTGTTATATATTTTGAACCATTTTTGCTAGTACTTATTAGATTGAAAACAATGTTATGGAGACATAAGATCGAATATAATCATAGGGAGATTATTTAGAAGAAAATAATTAAAATAAAACAAGATTACGTTGCAAGCCGAATCAATGCCATTCCTTCAATATCACCCACATTGCAAGCTTTATGGTAACATTTTAAAGCTTCTGGTACTTTTTCTTGTTTTTCATAAGCCTCACCCAAAGCCAAAATCATTCTGCTATCACGAGGTTTTAACAAGTGAGCTTGTTTATAGTAATACAAGCCATAAAACGGCATTTTTAAAATTTCGTAAGTTTGACCCAGCCCATACCAAGCTCTATAATCCCTTTTATCAATTTCTGCAAAGTAAAACGTAAATTAGTCACTATTCCAATCCTGGCGTTTTGCATTTATAAAATTTTAAGAATTTACCAATGGCTTGCCTATAGCTGTGAATAGCACCATTAGTATTTTTCATTTCCATGAACTCATGACCCAACAATGTCCATGCTGATATATATTGGGGATTTAATTTTAGCGCTCTTTGAAAATACATGATCGCTTTTTGATGATCTGCTCTAAGACTATAATAATTGCCTGAAAGAATTTTTGAAAATGTTGTAAAAATTGTAAATCATTAAGTTAATTCATAACTCTTCTCACCTACTATACAACAAGTTTCAACACGATATTTATCAATTTCTGTGGTTCTATGGGCCAAATATGCCAATTCATTTTTTAATTCCTTGACATACAACAAATTTGAATATGTATCCATATTGTCAAGACAGTAAGGATCATCTTCGATTATTTGTTGGAATGTAGCAATAGCAGTATCAACATCTTAGTGCAGCATATGGTAATTATTAGTAAAAATATAGATTTAGAGCCTCATAAAAAATCTATGCATTACCTCTTTTATGATGGACAGCAATAGCTGTTTGAGAAAGTAGATAGCCATTTCTTTCAAATCCAAAAGTCTGTAAGGTGTAATATATTTCTAAACACTCGTTTAATAACTGTAGTTTCAAATACGTATGAGCCATGAAAAACTGCTTTATCCAATGATTAGGTAAAACTAAAGTTTCCAGCATTTCATTATCTGTTATGAGACTTGATAATTCTAACCAAGTTCCCCAATGCATTGGTTGTTTGTGGACAGATTCAAGTAAAATACGTGTTGCTTCTTTAGGCAGCTGAAGTTTTTTTAAAATAATACCGTACAAATATAAACCGAATCCATCTAAATTTTCGTGGGTATACTCTTTTTTTAATTCACAACAAAGATATTTTAAGTTACTATTTTTCAATGAATCAGGTCGAATGTCGGTCATGTCATCAATTTTTTTCTTTTCTCCTGCTAAATAAAGAGAGTAAAAATATAAAAATTTTCCTTTTGAAGTTTTGCATTTTTCCAGAAAATAAGCTGCTCTGTTGTATTCTTTAAGATCAAAATAACTCTTAGCTAAGTGACATAAGTCTTCATCTTCACTTGGCTCTATTAAATTGTCAATTGAAGTAGTTTCATTAATGCAGGACTTGATATTAGTTAAAGAATAGTTCAATTCGGCAAGCCTGTGGAATAGTCACATGTTTTTGAAGTCTAAATTAATCCTGTGTCTAATTGCACCAAATCCAAGTAAATACATCAATGTAGACCTATATCTACGTAAATAATGATGCTATCCACACACTACTCCAGATGTTATTTGTACTGTATAATATCCATGTATAAATGTGGAGTTGGTGCAAATAGACCCAGCACTGAATTATGGTTTACTTTTAGAGTCCTTATATTTTATTTACTAAGAATTTTTACCAGTATGACATAACGAAAAATTAGATGCATGCCAAGAGGATAAATAATTTGTCAAGTCCCATGATAACCATCCTTGCCCTTATAAATCATTATTTCCCCCCTGCCTTAGTAGCATAGAAGATGCTTAATGATACAATACATGAGCATTAATGCGCTGTAAACCACTCTCAAAGCTTGCTAACCAATACGTATAACAATTACTATTTGAAAATTGACAGTATTGGAATGTACCATTGTAAAAAATAGACCCTTCAGTAATAAAAAAATTGTTTCAGCTCACCACTTTGTACTATGTAATAATCCTCGCTGAGAACATTCACTAATAGCTCGAACTATATCTGACTTCACTTCTGTAATATCGAGCTTCTCGCTTAACTCCTCCATTTCCATCCAATAATTAACAATTTAATAAATCTATGCTCCTAAAAGATTTGTTTCACCCCCTTTTAGTTCGGGTCAGGTCTCAACTAACTATACCTATATGTACAGAACCAGCTCCGTTTGGTTCGCTATATATCAAGCAAATAAACCAAGAGCTAACGCCCGAGGGTGGTCAAAATTTTAACCAGCCGCCACTTTCACCAAAATTTAGAACTCTTAACATTTAAGGACATCCAAAATATTTCGGTCATGTTTCATTCTGGTAAAAAGTTATGTCGTAATTAGAGTAGTGCCACATGATCTTTTTTATTGACCAGCCGCAACTTACACTAATGGATAGAAAATAATAAGTAACCAACTGTAAGTGTCATTTGCAGTAAGATTAAAATGCATCTTGTACCCAATAATCGACCTCCAAAAATATAGATATTGTATTCGTATCTATAATGTTATCTACAATGCCTCGTTTATAATCTTAGAAGAGTATTATAGATAAGATCGGATAGGGGGTCGATTTTCGGGTACAAGATGCATTCTAATCTTGCTCCAAATGACACTTCCAAAAATTTTTATTTTCTATCCACTAGTGTAAGTTGTGGCTAGTTGATAAAAAAGATCATATGGTACCACTATAATTACCACATAACTCTTTACCAAAATGATATAAGTATGACCAAAATATTTCGGATCTCCACGAATCATAAGCTTTATCAATTCTGGTAGAAGTGGCGGCTGGTTAAAATTTTGACCACACTGAAAAAAAAACCGGCCAGTATCCGGAAGTAAGAGTCCTGTTAGATAGCGCTAAAGCTGGTCTCAAAGTTATGCCAAACAAAGCAGATGGCAGCAGTGCAGCGTTGGGATAGACACGGATTCGGTATCGAAACTTTTTCCCTAGATCGTATGTATAGCTATACGATCTAGAGAGAATGTTCCGTCGAGCAGACAGCACAGCAGTGAAGGGGCATTGCCAAAGACGCGCAAAAATTAGAAATTGTAATTTTATAACACAAGTGCCTATCACCCGATGACCCGGGGCACTAACTTGCCTCTCTATTAAGTAATAAAATATTAATTATAAACACAAGCGCCTATCACCCGATAACCCGGGGTGCTTAATGGCCAGTCAATTAAATAATAAAATATTAATTATTAAAACAAACTCCTATCACCTAATGACCAGGGGCGCCAACTTACCTCTCTATTAAATAATAAAGTATTAATTATTAACACAAGCGCCTATCACCCG